GAGACATTTGGATTCATCCAGGCTTGGGGTTTTGCTGGTCAAGTGATGAGAAGGATGAATCTAGACTAAATAGGAAAGAAAGTGAAGAAAAGAGGGAGTAGAGTTGAGGAGAAGGTCTTCAGAAATAATGAGGTCAAGGAACTGAGAGGTCAAGACGCTGAGTGGGATACTGAAGAGACCCGGATGATGGCAGGATGCTCAGTGAATGAAGGCAGATGGATATTTGGCAGAGACAATGAGGGAAGGGGCATGTGGCCAGAGGGTGTGGTTGTCAAAGCAGGAGAGATTCTCACAAAGCCTGTAGGTACAATTGGGAAGGACAGTGTCTTCAGAGTTGAGCCAGGTTCCACTAAGAGTAAGAAGATGGAAAGAATGTTCTGTGAAGATGTGGAAAATATTAAAGAGTTTGTTAACCACAGAACCACTGTGGAGGCAAGAGTTGGAAGGTTGGGGAGGGAGGAGATGGGTGAGAAAGGAAACATAAAGCAGCACACGTTTTGTCACAGGAGACACGGTGGGTTTACTTGATCCCAGCCTGGCCAAGAGAATTAGCCCAGGTCTCCCACTTGTACTCAATGTTTTGCCAGAGCCAACCGTTTTCTGCATTAATGGCATTTCAGAGAACACGTGCATCTCAGGGGACTCTGGAAAGAGTCAGCTCGTCCTACTAACAGCCTTCCTAATATTTTGCTTGTACCATGAGGCATTTCTCTTCCCACTTGTCAAATTTGTTTTTAAAACAAATGTGGGTCAGTGGCCTGTTAATGGCCTGTTGTGCAGATCTTTTTACAGAGCAGTGGTCCTCAGCCCTGCCTGCAGAGTCCAATTGCCTGGGGAGCTTTTGATACATACGGATGCTTGGGGACCCAGACCTATTATATGAAAACCTCTGGGGATAAGGCCTCTAGAGTCGATACAGTTCATTTTCTTAAAAGCTCCGTTGGTCATTCTAATGTGTCAAGAACCTTGGCCTCAGAGCTTTGCTACCCAAGTATTTGGTCCACCAGCCAGATGCATCGACATCACCTGGGAGCTTGATAGAAAAGCAGAATCTCAGGCCCCACCCTTGACCTGTCTACCAAATCAGAGCCCGCATTTCAGAGCTCCTTCCCCAGGTGATTCCTATGAACAGTAAAGTTTGAGAAGCCCTGTCTTAAATCAATACTGATGCCTGGGTTCCACTTTGAGAGATTCTCATTTTATTGATCTGGGCTGTGGCCTGGGAATCAGGAATTTTAATGGCTTCCCAGGTATTTTTAATTTTCAGCCAAGTTTAAGATCCCTGCCTTACAGCATCTAGCAAAGCAACAGGAAAGGTGCTCGGTGCATTTTTATTCAACTAGGTGGATCAATCCCATCTTTGTTTAATGATTTCTGACCTTTTATTTAACTTATGAATGAACTCCATTTGCTTCTCATTTGGGGGAAAAACTGCCTGTCATAAACTTGTGGCAGGAACATAATTTCTCCTCATCTTCAAAGACGCTACTGGGAGGCTTAATAACTGATAAGGCAGGAAGTACTGCACAACCGAAGGCCCGTTACATAAGGACTGATTCATTTATTAAAGAGAAAAACCACCATTGCCTATAGGACCATCATTACAGAATAGCAACCAACTCCTTATAAAATCGAGAAGAGGAACCTTCCTGATTAGTTATTTCTTTCATCTTTTCTAAGGCCTTGTTTGAAATGATACTTAAAGCACAGCTCTACAGCTTTCTTTAAGCCAACTGATTGCACAAGTCAAATAACTAATTAGTTTGCTGAATTGTTGGGTTCCTGCTATTATAGGAATTAAGACATAACAAGTGTTACTTTAGACCCGAGTTTCCAAAGTATAATCCTAGCTTAAAGGTGAACTTTTTTTAAAGAACAAGCTTGACAAGTGTTTTAAGGATTCATTATGCTCTTCGAGTTTGAAGGGAAACAATTTTTTTAAAGCACCTCATTTAGACCACACGTAACTCAGATGTTTGAATAGTCAAATCACCCATTTTCATGTGGGTGGTTAAATCTCATGAAGAATAGAAGGTTGTTATTGTTGAAGACTTTCCCTAACTTTTGTTTCTGACTTCAGAGTCAAACATAGGAACGTATGAATCACTTTTCCACCACTAATGATTGAAATTTGCTGTAAGAATTATTAAAAATAAATTGGTGCCAAGACAAAAGTACTGCTTTTCAAGCTTTTATAAAGAAAAAAGTATCAATAGTCTTTTAAAATTATCCAGGCTTCAGAGAACACAGATTTTGATTCCATTAGACTTGATATCAGTCTACAAGAAAGATGGTCATTCATTTTTTAAATTCAGTAATGAACAATCAGTGGATTCACTACGATTTGAATTCCACAATATCATGTTCTTCTTTTTAGGTAAGCCAAAACAAAACTATCGAGAGTTGAAAAAATACATATCTTCTCCATGTTCTTTGTGTGGGAATGGCCCATGGAACAGTTCCTTCCCCTCCAGTCTCAGGCCTCCAATGTATTTATTTAAGATTTTCCTGTCTTAATAGCTCAAGGTCATGTGTATTCTAGATTCTATCTAGTGGCATACTAAGGGTGCTTCCTAAACATTAGGAGGCTTGTTGTTGAAGCCGGCTAGACGACACGCATATTCCCCAGTAGGGAGAAGATAGGAGATGGTCTCTCCTTAATTGCACTAGACTTTTTCGGAGCTCTCTGACAATGACTGAAGTCTTTGAAGCAGGTGTGTTTCATAAGAGAGAATCCCACTCATTGTCCTGAGTGCCATATGGAGTGAGGTTAAATTTGCCATTTAGTTGGAACTTAAAATGTTACAGAAAAATTCAATTTTTCAACTTGTGCAGATGGGTGGTTAACACCAGGATTCCTGTCTTGTGCATTATGACCCTGTAGATTCATAGATCAGTGATGAATTTTAAAATGTCATAAATAGGGTCAATTTAATTCCAAGTACTCGGAAACACAGTGTCTATTTAGTATACCACATGGGTGCACGCTTAAGGTTGAATGATGAAAATGACATTTTCATGGAGTGACTTAGAAGGGAAAATTGGATTTTATTATTGTGGTCATATATACCACCAGCTGGCAAACACACAAAATGTTTTACTACTAAAGTATGGGATTCCCAATATTTAAAATGGAAGTCAACAAAATCACATGCTGATCAAACTACCTCAAGTGACTCCACATGTAGAGTGGATGAGCATTGACCAGCAGTTGCTTTCAGGCAAACTTCCAATATGTTTCCTTCCCCCTGTAATTAACTCTTTGTCCCATAAAATCATCCCTTCCTACGAGGCACTCTCAGTTTTGTGAAACTAGAGCTTTATAAGAATCACCCATAAAAGTCCTTCCATCAGCTACTCTGGTTGATTGACCAGCTTTTCTATGGAGTAATGCAAAGGCTCTTCTTTAGCAACCCAAATCCTGTTTTATTGAGTGCTCTGAGTAAGCCTTATATGAAGCAAATACAACCAAATCATTTGACTACTCTAAATATTCAGTGGCTTCTCACCATCCACAAAATCAAGTCCAAGCTCTGACACTGACAAGTCCTGCCTCTACCTTTGTTCTAACCTTGTCTGCCATCATTGCCTCACCTTAGCCTAAACCTCCATGCCTTTGCACATGCTGTTCCTCTAATTGGAACTTTCCCATCTGGCAAACTCCTACGTATGTTTCAAGAGTCACATTCAACTTCATCTTCTCAATTCAGCCTTCCTTGTGCCATCTTCCCAAGTGGTTCACTTTGTTCACACCTTTGCTCATAATAGCATTGTGTTATATGTCCTGCCTTCCTCCACATTCCCTCTAGACTAAGCTCCTTGAATGCAGGGTCCATGGATGGACTTTTCGTCTTTGTGGTCATCCCACCTAGAGCAGTGCCTGGTACATGGTGGCCACTCTCGAGAGATTTAACAAATGGATGAATGCTTGTCTCCCCAAGTGTCTAATTGAATAACCAGGGAGAGACTTGGGAACGGGAAGAAATTGACTCTTTCGTTAAGTCAAGCTAGCGGCCTATTCTTTCTTTCCAACTCCAAGGGATATTAGCTCAATGCCTGTAATTATGCCTTGCAACTTCTCTTCTTCCCTCTGCTCCCAAACTTGATAAAATATTGTCACTTTTGTGTTGGTTTGTGCATAATAGTTCTCAGGTCTCACTAGGAGTAGCAGGGACATACACCTTCCAAAATTTAATCATGATTATGAATAAAGAGCTTTGTAATTTTCAATATTAACATGAAAGCCAAAATGTAATATGTAGGTCACGAATAAATTTTCCTAAGGTTTTGAAGTCCATTTTGAAGTTTAGTGTATAGTTTCTAACATCAAATGCTACTCTCCAAGAAAGGCTTCTCTTATTGAATTGAATGGCATGGTTTGCAAACATTAAGTTTAAAGAAAGGCTACAATATGCGGAACCATGTATTGTCTTAAAATAACTGTATTATGCACATTAAAACATGTAGCTCTCCTTTCCGGTGTGATTGCTTTGTTTGATCAAATTGAAAGTCAGGCTTTCTATTTGGGCATTATGCCTTATTTTCTTAGACTAAATGAAATTGTTCCATTATAGCAAATAGAAGCTTGATAATGGTTTGATTCAAATTTTAATTGGAATGCTGTTCTCAGAATATTTTACCATTCCAGTCTTATGCCTAGATATTGTATCTTCCAATAGCGACAATGAGCTAGGATTGGATTACAAACCTTATAGGACTTGTGTGGTTGAAATCCTGGAAGAATTTCAAACCAAGGCCTTGTCTGAAGCAGAAAGGGTGCTGCTTTCCTGCTGTCAGCTGGTGAGAAATATTTAGCTCATCGCAGGTCCCCATAGAAACCAAACACTGAAAGAAATGTCCCCTCTGAGGTTAGATCTCAGCTCCTCTTAGATGGGCGCGCATTTGGAGATTGATAAGCAAGTAACATGAGCCCTGCTCCCTTCCTGTTTCTAAAGTGGACTACATCAAAGCATCAAAATAATTTCTTTCTTTTTTTTAAGGCTTCCTCACAGCGATGAGGCAAGAAGTGACCCGTGCCCACAAAGGCTGGGCCCTGGACTCCGTGACCATCCACAATGAGGTGCTGCGGCAGACCAAGGAGGAGATCACATCACCTCCTGTGGTAGGCACCACTGGGCAATGGCAGGGGCAGTTCTGGAGCTGGGGCTGAAGGTTGAAGTTCTGCTTAAAACTGACTTCTGAGTGCTTCAGTAAGTTCGTTGGCTTTGCAGCCAGGGTTTCCTCGGTTGTGACCAGGAGACCTCAATGCCAACGCCTCCTCCATTTGCTGGAGTGGGAATTAATGACAAACCCTGGGAATTCCCTGACTGCATTTCTTTATAATTACAAGTCACACTTGTGTTTGCTAAAAAGGATTTTTCCACACATCTCCAGCTATGGCTGTGGGCTACTCAGAACTGACGAGTGTTGAGGGCAGTAGAGACAAACAGGACTAGCAGTTCTGAGCTCTGGGGCCAGCTCCAGCAGTGTCCCCCACTAGCTGCAGGACCCTGGATGGAAGGACGCTTGGCTGGAAGAAGGGCAGGGCTCCAAGGTAAGAGAGGCCATTGAGAGCCACTGCTTGGACACTTACCTGCTCTATCAACTTGGGCAAGTTCTTTAACTTTGTTGAGCCTCAACTTCTTCATCTATAAAATGAGGATGATAGACTCATTAAAGATGATTGTGAGAATTACATGGGATCAGTTAGGCTTGGTGCCGGACCCCACATAGACACTCAATAAGTCTTCATCACCTTTTCCCTTTCTCTGATTTTCATTCCTTCAACTGTCAAATAAGGGGGCTAGACCAGATGATTTCCAAGTTCTGGCCCTTTCTGCCACTTTATAACAAGACTTGCCTTTCCTCCGGTTTCCAATAGTATGATCTTTATTTCCATCAGAGATAGCACCAGAAGCACCTTTAATCTCCATATTTCCACCAACAATCTCTAGATTCAAGGCAACCTAGGCTTCTTCCATCATGAGCCTCAAAATTCTTACAGCTTCTTCCCATTATGCAATTCCAAAGTCACCTCCACATTTAGGTATTTGTTGCAATAGCACCCCGTTTCCTGGTACCGAGATCTGTATTAGTTTCCTAAGGCTGTTGTAACAAACTGGGTGGCTTAAAACAACAGAAATTTATGTTTTCAGAGTTCAAGAGGCCAGAAATATGAAATCAAGGTATTGGCAGGGTTGGTTTCTTCTGGAGGCCCTGAGGGAGAATCTGTCCCATGTCTCTCTCTTAGCTTCTGGTGGTGGCTGGCAACCCCTGGCGTTCCTTGACTTGTAGCTGCATCATTCCAGTCTCTGCCGCCATCGTCACATGGCCTTCTTCCTTCCCTGTATCCCAATGTGTCCTCTCCTCTTCTTATAAGAACACCAGTCATATTGGATTTAGGGCCCACCCTACTCCAGTGTGACCTTAACTGTTTACATCTGCTAAAACCCTATTTCCAAATAGTCACATTCTGAGGTTCTAGGTGGACATGGGTTTTGGGATTTTGGGACATGGGTTTTCACTATACCTTCCAACTATGACTTTGTAAAGTTCTGAGATTGAAAGGGGCCTAGAAGGGATACAATTTACTGTCAGATGGTACCTAAGTGGTTGTATTGTTCATGTAGTAATTGTCACCCACTGACTTAGTGGATTACCACCCACTTTAATGGTGGTAGTCGTATGTTCTGATTTTCTGGGATTGCCAGTGGTTTCACTGTCAACCAATGTACTTAAGGTTTTGATTCAAAAAATATGGTCCTCTTACTGTTAGCCCACATGAGGGGATTCCAGAAAACACTTTGCAACTAATCTCACTCTCTTTTATTATAATCTACATTTATTTTCCCATACTCTAACCTCACTGGAAATGGAAACATGGTCACCATCTTCTACATAAATATGTCTTATGAGCTTCCGTGATTATTGGAGTCTCCCCTGCGATTCCTTTTAGCCTTTTTTTTTTCTTCCTGGACACATGTTCTATGAGTCCCCATTGCCTACAAGGTAAAATTCAGACTCTTCAGTTTGGCACCTAGACTCTTTCAAGGTCAAGTCCTAACTTATTTTATATCCGTTGAACCCTCTGCTAGAGAAAATGCTTGGGCTTTCCCACGCATCCTGCCTTTCCTTGTAGTATTGCTTCTGCCTGGGAAGCCCACTCTCTTTCCTCTCTCTTTCCAAATGCCGCCCACCCTTCAAGGCCTGATTCAAGGCCATCTCCTCCACAAAGGTCCCTGAGCACTCCAGCCCACGGTGGCCTTTCACCTCAGAAGTCACTGCATTTAACCTCAGTGCTGTTCACCAGGCAGCCCTTGTAACAAGTGTGTGCTGGTATTTGATTCATATCTTTTAAATTTTTTTTCTCTCTGTGTGTCTTGTCTCCTGATTTAATGGTGAGGACCTTGAGGGCAGGTCCTATTGTGTGAAAGAGCGACACAGGATGACAGTCAGCCACTGCTGAACCAACCCTCCCCTCCCTGCCCTTCACACCCGCTCTTGCTCTACCACACCTGGCCTCTGGGGGCGCTCTGGCTCTCCTACAGGCCAGGCCTGGCTGCACAAATCTCACTTCAGCCTAGGACTGAGATGAAGTTAGAGCCACAGGTTGGCTTGGCCAGCACAGGCTGACATCTTGTGTGGCACCTAGCTCCAAATCCTGTTGCGTGCTCCCACCCTACACTGACTCAGACCAGACCTCTCAGAGACTTTTACCTCCCTGCAGAGGTGATTTGGCATGGCTGGCTAAATCTGTTGTCCCAGGCAGGCCACCCCCATGCTAAAACAACCAATAACAGGAACATTTCTACAGTGCTCATAGCCTCAAGATATGCCACAGGGGAAAATTGGGCTCGATATTTCACTAATGCAGTGTGCACAGTGGTGTTTACTTCTCTTGAAAGTGTTTTAAGACTGATGTCTGTTTTCCTTCCAAACCGATAACCTTTATTACAGTAATGGATGCCCATCTCACAGCACCTAATTTTTTAAAAATCCTATTACCTTTTGCTTGACTCTTCCAGGAAGGTGTGTATATTTATGGGCTCTACATGGACGGAGCGGCCTGGGACAGACGGAATGGGAAGCTCACAGAATCCACCCCCAAGGTGCTCTTCACACAGCTGCCTGTGCTGCACATCTTCGCCATTAATTCCACCGCACCCAAGGACCCCAAGCTGTATGTGTGTCCTATTTACAAGAAACCGAGGCGAACTGACTTGACCTTCATCACTGTAGTGTATTTGCGAACAGTCTTGTCCCCAGATCACTGGATCCTGAGAGGGGTGGCCCTTTTGTGTGATATCAAGTAAGTTCATTTCCACTTGCTGAAGGCATCAGGGGCCATGGAGACAGCCAATGCTATTGAGGGACTTGGTGATATGCATCTTTTCTCCCTGATAATTGCTTGATTCTTCTTTCTAAATTAAAAAGTTGATGTTCTACAATTGCTTGTGTGTGTGGGTTTTCCCTCATATCAATATTCAAGAAGACAATTCTAAACTAATGCTTTTGTCCAAGGAAATCATATTCCATTCTAATTAATTTTTTAGATCAAGTCCTATCCTCATGTTAGAACACTTTGGAAGGTTTGAATTTAAAAAAGAAAACTAAAACAAACTATTAATTTGTTGTGTCTGAAAAGAAGCCTAGTAGATGCAAACTTTTCTCTCACATAAAAACCACTTTTCCCTGAAATAAAATCTACCCATGTCTGTGCTAATGTTTGAGTTTGGTCTTCTCTCTGTGCTTGTGAAATGAAAACTGGAGGTGTCCAGCCGGTGCCCTTAGGAGTTAACAGCGGTGCAGTGTGGAGTGTTTGGGACAGCTACTCTTGTCACTTATTTTAATTTCATTTAGTATTATTTTATTTTATTTTTTAAGTGCTTTTGAGGCCCAGAAAACTCTGGGTCTCCAGCTCTCCCCCACCCCAACTCTGCGGGAGATAATGAAGCACACATTTCTAGGCAGCAAATGGAGAAGGAAAAACAAACACTATCAAATGAAATTAGGTTCCATGCTGAATGCCTTAAAAAGCAAAGTCTTTAAAATGTGAAGCTATTTCTCACTCTGTAGCTAGTCTGAAACTGAGCATGAACCTTTATTTCCTGCTAAAGGAAATTGTCAATTTAACAAAACAAATGAAGTCCTATATTGAATGCTCATGCAGCTTCAGGATAGTGAAGAAGCATCTCTACTGGTCTTCCCATCTAGACTCCTCTTGCCTGCCCCCAGCTAAACTCACAAACTTTATTCCTTCTGTCTATTCTGAAGGAAGGGATCATTTCATGTTGCCTTGCTCCCTCCGCTCTCATCCTTCTGTTGCCCTGATCAGAGAGGCCAGTTATAAACAAAATGAGGTGGCAAAGCAATAGCCCAGGGGAAATTCCACTGTAGTCTAGTGCACTTTCCAAAAGTAGAAAATATATAATGAAATGCAACTTGTAGTAGTGGCCTCTGGTGTACTCCTGATATTGATTCAATGTCAAAGCCATAAAACTTTCCAGGGCATTCTGGTATTTCCCTCGGCCAATACCCTAAGGGAAAGGATGGTATTCTCTGGAAAGAATGTCCTCTTGAGCTGAGGCTAGGATTTGGAAGCACCTGCCACTCTGGGTGGGCGCAGAGGAAGTGAAACACGTTATAGCAACCAAACTGCAGGTCCCCAAATAACATGCACACATTTTATTCATATTCCTGTCCAGTCACTAAAGTGATTGAAGACAAAGGGCATAGTCTAAACCCTCAGATATCAAAGTAGGTTTTCAAAGAATAACAATTAGATTCAGTGTTCTCTAATGATGAATGTCTTATGGAAAATTTGGGGAGAGATGGAAAAGATGTGAATCTAGCAAGGGGATAGATCAGACTGTTTAAAGCCACATACCATTTCCTGGGAACTTTTTCACTGTTACTGATTATTTTGCTCTGTGTCAACACAGAGGACAGAGAGATGGGTGTGGAGGCCTGCCCCCCAGGGATGGGGACCTGGCACCCAAGCCATGCCTCAAAATGATCTTCTCTGTGGTGGGTACATCTTAGCTAGTCCTAGTTTTGCAGAGCTGGCTGGGGTCCAGTTCTGCTTTCTTTCTCTAGGCCCATTAAATGGTTTCCTTAGACATTTTGAGCTATTGAACTTCCATAAACACATAACCATTTTCTCGGCAAAATTGTTGCTCTTTCACTAATTACATAATTTGCCACACTTGAGTGAGGGAGACCTGGTGAGCATAACAGAGCAAAAGGTCGGTGACAAAATGGTTAAGCCAACTGAAGCTGGGAAGGAGGCAAAGTAATTTTTTTTCCTCCTTTGAATCAGTCCACATAGTTTCATTTTGGTCTCAGCAAAATGAGCAAAGAGATTTATACCTTCGTTGATTTAAAATGTTATTTTACTTTGGGCTTTGCATAAAAATAAGACCAAAAGAGAAGTGTGTAAAGATATATCTTCTAAAAGGGATTGGTCTTGTGGGTGATGTTGCATGAACAAGCCTCACTGTCTGCTGTCAGAGACCGCAGATGAATAAGGGACTCACCTGTAACGTGAGTGTGACTTGGGCCATGGGTGAAGTATGAAAGAATGGTTATAGAAACTCAGGGGTGAGGGATGAACTTGAAGACAACATTTCAGTTGGTTCTTGGTCTTTCATTAGTTGGTACCAAGATGGTACCCAGGCAGTAGATGGGTATATTCTAAGGAAGGGAGCAGCATGAGGGAGAGAATAGTATAAAGATGGGAAACTTCACAGAACTTTCAGAGACAGGGGCCAGACCACGTGGTCCCCTGCTCAAGAGCCTTCTGTGAGTTTCCATCACCTGGAGTGTACACTCCAAATGCCAAAGCACTCCATGAGCTGGCCTAAAATAAAATTTCTGCCTTGTGGCCCACCATCACTCCACTTGCTCAGTTAGGACTATTTGATGTTCTCTGAACATCACACATACTTTCATCCTTACGTTATTTCCTTATCAAGGAAAGCTCTTCCATATAGAACAATTGGAACTTTCATACACTGCTGGAGGCAATGTAAAACGGTACAACCATTTTGGCAAACAGTTGGACAGTTTCTTAAAAGTTAAAATCTTCTTAAAAGTTACACTTATTTTACCCCCCATAGGTGTTGACTGAAGCAGCTATCATAAGACCCCAGCATTTCACTCCTGGATATTTACCCAAGAGAAATAAAAGCATTGTGCACACAAAGACTTACACATGAATGTTCACAGAAGCTTTATTTGTCATAGCTAACAACTGGAAACTCAAATGTCCTTCCACACCTGAATGGTTACACAAACTGTGGTACACCCATTCTATAGAATACTACTCAGCAATAAAAAGGAACAAACTATTGATATGCACTACAACATGGATGAATCTCAAAATAAGTATGTTGAGTGAAAGAAGCCAGACAAAAAAAAGTGCATAGTGTATGATCCCATTTATATATAAAATTCTATAAAATGCAAATTAATCTATAGTGACAGCAGATCAGCAGTTGCCTGACCTAGGGGAGGGTGGGGGGCAGGAGAAAGAGATTGCAAAGGAGCAGGAGGAAACTTTGGGGGGTGATAAATGTGTTCATTCTTTGGATTGTGGTGATGGTTTCACAAGTGTCATAATGTACCAAATTGTACACTTGAAACATGTGCAGTTCATTATGCTTCAACTATACCTCAGTAAAGCTGTAAAGAAAAGTTCTCCTTACACCACTTGATCCTTCCTTCGCCCTCTGTGAGGACTTCCATGACCCCCTTACCCTTATGCCAGTTAGGATTCATTGTTCCTCCTGCATTTTGGCTGCAACTGAGTTTAGCAATTTTAATCCTAAGAATTAATAACATTTGTCTCCCTACTCTATAGCAATGAATGAACAGCAAGTAACCCAATTTGACTGGTAAATATAGGCGAATGATGGGAAGGAGGAGATGTCAGATGGCGACCATGTTGGGAATACTATGGAAAGATAGTGGGGAACCACTGATGGTTCTGGGCTGCTAAAGGAATGGAAGTGAGTAGGTCAGTTAGGAGGCTATTGCTCTAGACCAAACAAGGGGAAATGAGGGTTGGACTAGAGAGAAGACAATTAGAATGGAAGTAAAGCAAGTCATTTGAAAGATGGTATGGAGGTATAATTTGGGGATTCAGAAACCAAGTTGATGAGATGAATAATAAGCAGGAAGGATTGACGGACAAAGCAATTTATAGCCTGCAGAGTCAAGTTGGATGTTTCTTCTGTTGTTACAATTTGGGGAAAAGAGCTGTTTTCCTAGCCAAGTACTTATAAATAACTGCCAGGGTCTCTGAAGAAAGACTCAATGATCTGTGTGCTCTCCATTGCTCACAATGAGGTCTGTGGCTTAATAATGTAGTGTTACCATATGCCAGGCACTGGTCTAAGGACTTGACATGAATTAACTTATGTAATCCCTATACCAAACCTATGAGTTCAGTACTGATATTATCATCTCCATTTCACAGATGAGGAAACTGAGGCACAGCGAAGCTAAATAACTTGCCTAAGGTCTCACAGCTTGTAAGTGACAAAGCCGGGATTTTAAACCCAGGCTGAATGCTTCCAGTCTGTGCTCTGATGAACTTTGCAAGGCAGTATGGGACTTTTTAAAAAGCCAGAGTCCAATGGCATAAACCTCTAAAATTCACAATTGTGCATAGAAAATAGTACATCTATGTTTCTCTGACTTGTTAATTTGAGTAGCTTTCGTTATCTGGATGGAAAAGATAATGTGCATGGAATAGAGACTATCAGGCAAATATCAGCATTTGTATGGTGTGCAAACAAATGTACATTTAAAATTCAGGAATTTTGAAGGGAATTAGTAGGTTCATTTAACATGCTCTTTCTGGGCTTTTTTGAACGTTCTAGACAAGCAGGTGCATTGTTAACCAAAAGGAGCTAGAGAATTAGCTCTAGGCTCCAAGGGAGAAGACAAGTCTAGTCCTGGGACACAGGCCCCCTGCTGGGAGGCTTCCTTGACCGCATGCAAAAGAAGAAAAAGTAACTAAGATGTTATTTTAAAGAACACAATTCAACAAAGGGTAAAAGACAGCAAAAGTGTAAAAAATAATTCACTATCTTAAATGAGAAAAAAAATTAGGGGCCAAAGCAATCCTGAGAAAAAAGAACAAAGTTGGAGGTATACTACAAAGCTATAGTAACCAAAACAGCATGGTACTGGCACCAAAACGGACACACAGATCAATGGAACAGAATTGAGAGCCCAGAAATAAAACCACACGTCTATGGGCAGCCCATTCGACAAAGGAACCAAGAACATACAATGGAGGAAGGAAAATCTCTTCAATAAATGGTGTTGGGAAAACTGGACAGCCACATGCAAAAAAACAGAAGTAGACCATTATCTTACGTCATACACAAAAAATAACTCAAAATGGATGAAAAAGACTGAATGTAAGACCTGAAACCATAAAAATCTAGAAGAAAACATAGGCAGTACGCTCTCTGACATTGGTCTTAGCAGTATCTTTTTGAATACCATGTCTCCTCAGGCAAGGGAAACAAAAGAAAAAATAAGTGGGACTACATCAAACTAAAAGGCTTCTGCACAGAGAAGGAAACCATCAAGAAAACGAAAAGATAATCCACCAACTGGGAGAAAATATTTGCAAATCATATATCTGATAAGGGGTTAATTTCTAAAATATATAAGAACTCATACAACTCAACAATAAAAAAACA